CTCCCGCGCCGCGGCTAATCGCGGGGAAAATGAGGATGCCGGCGGGGTGGCCCGCGGGATGGGCAGGTTGGAGCAGAGCTGGCGAGGTGGGTGCTGTCCTGGGCCCTGCTTGGGGTCAGGATCGTGGGCTGCAGGACGGGCAGGACCCTGGGGTCACACCAGCCTTGTGATGCCTGGATGTGTTGGCACCGTGGCACAGATCCTGCCTGCTGGGGGTGCGTGGGCTGGGCAGCACTTGTGGGCATCCCAGAGCAAGTCCCCCATGCCTCCAGCCCTGTCTGTAAAGGCACAAGGTCTTTTCCTTCCATCCCAGCTTCAGGAGCAGCCGCTTGCCTTACAGTGCCAGCTCCGCAGGTTCGTACTGCCTGTGCATCCTCTTGGGGCACTCGGTGGAGATTTTTGGGGAGAGTCGGCACTTGGAAGTGGGTGCAGGCAGCGTCTGACACCCCGTATCTCCACGCAGGTGCCCATCCTGCCCCTGCTGTACCCTGGCTTCTCACAATGCCAACTCCTGCGGGACGCCGCAGCGCTCTGCGGCCGGCTCAGATTTATCCATTATTTTATATCCACACGCCTTTAATTTTTACAGCCCTGTTGGAGCAATACCCAGGGCTGTTAATAACGCCAGCCCCCCCGCCTCCCCTGTGTTTCCATCATGCTCCCACCGAGGTGCCAAGCAGGTCTCGGGGCCGGGTAAGTGCAAGCACAAGCAAGCTGGTGTGGTGGCACCCAGCCCTGTGACCCCCACCTCCAGCCAGTTCCCCCCCCCACCATGGCGAGCGGCAGGGCTGGGCACCCCATGCCCACCCTCGAAGCAGCCTGGGTCTGGGTGCCCTTGCACCCTGCTGGGGCCGGTGGTGCCTGGCTGGTCAGGGTGCTTAAGCCAGGAGTGTCTCTCTGGTGGGATTCATGGAGCCCCTCTGCCCTAGTGTGTACCTCAGGGAAGTTTTGCTGCAACACCCGTGTGTGTGTCTGTGTGTGCGCGTGTCAGGGTGTGTGTGTGCCTGTAAGAGGAGCTGGACGGCAGTGCGTGTTTGGTATGTGTGTGGGGGAGCACAGCACGTGTGGCTGTACTGGTGCGTGTCAGTGTGCATGGGATGTACATGCGATCTACATGTGTGCCACTACCTGTGCGTGTGATGCTGCATCAGGCACCTTGCCCAGGCCGTGCCCGGCACCCTGCCACCCCAGCACGGACGAGCGCAGCCTCAGCCGCCCCAGGCAGTGGCCATCTGTGTGTGCCTGTGACCAGCCCTCAGTGCCCATGGGACAAGACAGTGGGTCCCACGCCAGCTAAGCCACCCACCCCCATGCCAAGCAGGGTCCCCGTGCCACGTGTAGCACAGCATCCAGGATGTGCTGCCTGGGCTTCCTACCCCAGCACCCAGGAAGACCCAGGGACCCCTCTGAGCACCCAGGGCTGGGCAGGCTTGGTGGGGGGTAGGGAGGAGGGTGCGAGGGTGGCAGGACACCCCTGAGCACAGCAGGGAGGAAGACCGTGTGGGGCCGGGGTATGTGGCCATTGCAGGGGGCTGCCGTGGGCAGTGGGAATTGCTGGGCTATAAATCTCCTTGCTGCCCCCCACCCCACCCCCCCCATGACAGAGCGGCTCACGATATTTATGCTGGGGATTTATCTGCAATGCAGGTTAATATTCCCGGACCTTCACATGTGTGTGTGCGTGAGTGCATGGCCCCCTCCC